ACAGGTAGATTTAAATCTAGAAGTTAAAGGACTTCCGATTTGCCGTTATCATAATTAATGATATTTATAAATAATTATATAAATTTAATTTCAATTATTTTATGATAAGCTTATACAAATTTATTTATTTGACTGGAGATTAATTAGAAATTGTTTTTAATGATTATTTGATTGTATAAATTTGTTTTGGTTTCAGTTTGTTAAATTTCGAAAATTATATTTTTTTAAAAAATAGTGTTCCTGGAATCTTCTACATCAATCAGATCTTGTAATATAATTTTAGAATAGTTACTAATCAGCTACAAATGTGCAAACCAATATTATTATGTTGCTATTGAGATAGTTTAATGAGAACGACTTGGAAGATTTTAAGATATCTTGGCCAAAACAATCGCGTGGGTTGAAGGCGTCTGAGGGAATACTTTATCTGCCGTTCTTCCCCACTCATCCTAAATCGTCCATAACCACGGTTCCCGTGTTTAAATAGACAGAAATATATAATTAAATAAGCAGATATAAAATTCGAAGCTCAAACAGGCTTGATATAATATGAATTATACACTGGTTTTAATTTCTATTTCGGATCTACGGTTAGATCAGAAATATTGGCGCCCGGCACGCAAGGATCTTACTTAGAGAGAGATATATATATAGCATCGTTAGATAGCAGAAAAAACGACTTCAGAACTAGTCAAAACTAAACATCGAAAAATAAAATAAAAATATTTATTTATTGTTATCATTTATATATTAAAAAAATACTTTTAGTACAATCAAGTGTTTTTTTTTTTTTTAAAACTATCTTAATATTTTTCTTTAATATGGTAATATTCTAAAAATAATAAATATTAATTCGAAGCATAACAACTTAAAATTGTCTTTAAATTATCTTTTAGAAGAAATTTAAATGAGGTTAGATTTGAAATCATTCAATTATGAAAGTAATTTTTTATAATTAACTTTGGTGCTGACTCGTTATTAAAAAATAAGACATAGTCATTGGCTCTTAACTAAACACATATAAAGCATAGAACATATTATAAAGACATAGATAAAAAAAACATATAATACAAGCAAAAAATATAAAGTATAGAAATAAAAAAGTAAATAACGCAGATTTATTGCAAAACTTCATTAATTGATATTTTATAATCTTAAAATACTAGCAACTTTGATAAGTTTTCTCTTTGTAAAATCACCAAATTGTGTGCTTGTTGTAATTATTTTTTATAAGTAAAAAAGGTTTGTCTCATTTTAATAGAGTAATTTTTTTTTTTTTACCAGTAAATAAAGTCGAAATTCATTAAAACATTACAAGCTCAGCACAATAAAAGCTTATTGAATTTTGCAATAAATCGGCGATAAATTTATTGTACAATAGTGTGCTCAAGAAATCTTTATTAAGACACATATAGAAGATTAGAAATAAAAATATCAGGGACAGAATCCAATTCATATTCAAGAACTATTCAATTTAAATACAAATGAACTTTAATAATTCAAAATAAAGACCTCAAAAATATCGTAGACAACCTCTAAGCAGATGCTCAAATACTACCTCCCCCCCTCAAAAAAAAAAACTTACAACGATGTGTTGAAACAATCATGAAGAAATTAATGTAATGAATTGAAAATAGAGAGCAATGATTAATCAAAGACTTATTTAAGGTAGTATTTCAGTGTGACTGCCCACAGCAGCAGATGGCAAGAACCGCCAGCCGTTAGCGCCTCGCTGAAACTGCTCAGCGAATTGGCCAATTCCTCTTGCACTCAAGATTTATAGTTACAAAAAAATTACCACTAAAACCCATGAAGGGTTTGGGTTCAGTACTATTTAGGAAGAGTACTGTTTCTTTGTCAAAGGTTGTGTAAGGAGGTGCTTTGATAGAGATCACGCTCAACCGCCTGTTTTTTTCCCTTAATTAATTATTTTAATTAAGAGTACACACTTTATAGACTTTATAGGTTTGGAAAACATACAAGCTTACGAAAACTTACTGCCATAAAAAAAAAACTTATATGTGGACTTGCAAATGAGCTTATAACAAATGAATGTATAAAGCCATTATTATTGGCTAAATTATTTTTATTTAATTTATTCAAAAAATACTTTTAATTTAATTTATCATCTAGGTATATAAGTAAGAATATTTTTTCCAGTGATTTATTCTCCCATTTTTTTCTCCACTCAATTACATATAACGTTTCGGGATCCACTTATTCATTTTCAGTATCTGACTACACTCTCCCTAGAGGAGACTTAAATAATATTTCCAGTAATAAGACAAAAAATAAAACAATTTAACTAACATGACAAGTCTTATGGAGAATTAAGATGATGCAGAATACTGTCTGAAGATGGGATATAAGTGGATCCCGAAACGTTATATGTAATGATATAATTGAGTGAAAGAAAAAAAAAAATGGGAGAATAAATCACTGGAAAAAAATATTCTTACTTATATACCTAGAAAATAATTATCTCCCTAAGGATAAATATAGATATTAATTTATTATAATATTCGTAAACATTATTTTCATTCATGGATCCCTGAACAAGACTAGTTTGGGAGGGGGGCAGTTATAAAATCTTTACTGTCAAAAGAATCTACTAATCTCAATCATAAAGATCTTAGAAGGACTGCAATTAAAGACCTATATAAGGAATAAAATCTGCAAATCATTCAAGACCTTGAGAGATCTAGGTACTGGAGACCTTGAAATAGGAAGTTCTGAAACTTCTAGAAGAACATGTGGAATGAAAGATATGTGTGTGAAATCAGTCGAGGATGCGGCCAATAGACATATATTATATATCTTAGTTCTTATATTTCTAAAATTCCTGAAGAAGGAAAACTACGATACTAGGAGATAGGGATGGAATTATCGAAGGCCCGATGTCGATATTGCCATCGATATTAATATAATATATAATATATATAATATAATATATATATGTGTATGTGATAATTCCATCCCTATCTCCTAGTGTCGTGGGCTTTCTTTCTTGAGTGAATAAATTTTGTATAAAAGTATGCCTCTATTTAAGTTTGTTTGATGAGTTTAGTTTCCTTTTGTATATATATTATATATATATATATATATATATATATATATATATATATATATATATATATATATATATATATACCTAGCCTTGTTATAGATATTGTTACAAGGAAATATATACAGATTTCAACATAAAAATTAATTTTTTCAAAAACTTTATTAGAAAATAAAATGTATATCAATAGAGATTCAATCAAAAATGAAATTACTCAAAATTTTGTATTAATAATGTCTTTTCTTATTTATTTTTTTTTTAAGTATTGATATAATTGTAACAGTTATATCACTTTGGAGTTCACTTTCGAAATATATGATTTATGAAGAATGTGTCTATTGAACGCACCACCGACCTACATCATAAATTAGAAGTATGGACAATTATATTTCCATACTATTATAGTCCGTGGTACAGACCCATTTTTATTAAATTATTAATATCCTGCTGAAAATTCGTAAATAGCTACATTTCATCGTAACCTCAAAATATTTTATACATGAAAATTCTCGGAATAAGGCCGTTTTTAATTTGAAGATCGGCAAACATTACCTGCTTAATTATGTACTAAAAAAGGCATGAAAAATATTTGCTTTCCACTTGAATCGTAAGATTATATGATCATAAAGTTGAAAGAAAATTAGCCTACAAAAATATTGGGCCCCATAACCTCATTATTTGTGTTTACCCACTTCGACTATGATTGTCTGGTGTATGACGTACTCTCGGGAGATCCATCCATTCAACCGTACCGCCGTCTGTACTTCCTTGCTACCTTTCTATATCAAGCCATCAGAACTCAGCGACCTTCCTATATTTTTCACAGCCTACAATTTAAATATTCCATTCAATCCCGTCCCACTAGATCCCGTACTTCTGACCTCTACTCACCTCCTCACCGAACTGTCGCGTTTGACAAATCCTTTATAATTCAAGTCGTGTCCATCTGAAATACCATCCCTCCCGATATCCGACATGCGCAATCATTTTCCTCATTTAAATCTCTCCTTTTTAAGCACACATTTCTTTCCCAATTGACTGATCAAGAAAAGTACACAAGAGAACTTTTTAAGTTCTCCCAGAAATGATTTTGTTTACTTATATTATTTTATTTTCATATGTTCGGATTATATATATTTAAAGGAAGGAGATGGTCCGGGGTTGCAGTCATAAATAGGCTAAATAGTGGTAAAACTATTTTATTGAAAGCCGACGTTTCGACCCGACTTTGCAGGGAGGTATGTTCATCAGGTGTTTCACTTAGAACTGAGGGAGTTCTAAGTGAAACTCCTAGATGAACACACCTCCCTGATGAAGACCTGCAAAGTCGGGTCGAAACGTCGGCTTTCAATAAAATAGTTTTACCACTATTCTATTCTATTTATGACCGCAACCCTAGACCATCTCCTTCCTTTATAATGCAACGGTCAACTATTAAATATTCTGTATATATTTAGTGTTTTTGTTTTCATTTTCTTCGAATATTTTAATTTTAATGAGAATTGTAAATATTTAATTTAATTTTATGGCCACACAGGCATTTTCTCTGTATCTATAATTTGTCCTAAAAGGACAACAGTCCCAGGATAATAAAAATCTATTTTCATTTCATTACTTCCATTTAATTTTTTTTCTCGATTTTGTGATCATATTATCTTACAATTCAAGTGGAAAGCAAATGGGTATTCATGATTTTTTAATACATAATTAAATAGTTTGCCAAACTCCAGATTGAAAATGCCACAATTTCGTGAATAAGATGTTTGTAGGTTACGATCAGATGTTAATAATTTGATAAATATGGTTCTGTTCCACGGATTATTATGATATATGTGTGGATTCATATCATACATATGATATATAAACATAAAAGTCTTATAAATAAATATAAAAACAATTAACACATAAATATAAATAATAAAATTTTAATACTCACAGGGTTGTAGGTGATGGGTGCCCTACTGACAGCAATGGTCGGGAAGGCCGAACTCTGGGGACTGGCTGCTTGGACGTACTCGGGCTGCGGGCCTGGCGTGGAAGTGTACATGTCCAGAGCAGGTCCCGGGCTGTTCGCCCCAGGGAACCCTGCGGCCCGCGGCGTGTGCGGCGAGGCAGGAGGGCCGAAACCCGCCGCTGCGGCTGCGGCTGCCGCTGCCGCCTGGTAGTTGTTCATCACTGCAACACCAACGGTGTCAAAGTCTCTATTAGAGTCTAAATATTCACGGTACCAGTACCAGTAGGCAACATGTGTTAGTATCTGAAGCCTAATCGTTATGAGGAAAAAGAAAAAGAAAAAAAAAAAACATTCTTTGTCTTGATAACACATCCAAAAATATTGGTCCAATCTAAAAATATATTTCAGGTTTTATAAGATCACAACTTTTAAAAAATCTATATCAAAGAACAGACATGGATTCTTTTTATAATGGTAAGAATTATATTTTAAAGGATTGGATCCGGGTGGAACAGCATTCGTTGTCATTGAGGATGCTTTGAACTTGTTTAGCGAGGACAAAGAAACCATAAAACTCGAAATAAACACCGATAAGAAAAAATATATAGTTTGCTGAAAAAATGGTGATAATGCCGGTGATATCGAATTAGAAGATAATATTTTTAAACACATAGAGAAGTTTAGATATCTAAGATCTACGATAACTAAAAACACGAAATTGAAGAGGAGATCTAAAGTTAGGCTGAAGGTGGGAAATACTTGTTATTTTTCTGTGATAAAACTAATTAACTCGCGCTTCCTGTCCCGGAACTTAAAAACTAGAACCTATAAAACCATTAGATCGAAGAAGGATGAGTTAACTGGAGAGTTTAGACGGTTACACAACGCCGAATTGCGTAAAATGCATCCGAATAATATAATCAAGGTGATTACATCGCTGCGAATTAAATATGCTTTCAAAATTGTTGGACTTAAGTAATGAAAGAATTCTTAAAAGCTTTAAATTTGCCGACTGGTAAACATCCGGGGGGTATAACGAAGCGAAGATGGGAAGATTGCGTTAAGACCGATCTAAAGGAACTGGGGTTGGACGGCGAACGGTGAAGGGACGTGTGTAATAAGCGTTTGGTGGTGTCGGCATCGAACCTTCGGATCTTTTTATAATTATTATTATTATAAGAGTTATATTTTATGAATTCAAAATGGCCGATCTTATAGACGAATAGAATTGTTTTTGAACAACTTTCAATCAAACTGAAAAAAATGCTTTTGAAGCATTCATTTAACACCCATACCAGACTGAAACGACCAGAAATCGTCCGACGTTTTCGACTACTGCATCACTTACTTGAAAAACGCTTTAAACTTCCAACGATTTACAAAAGACTCATGTATATTAATATAATAAGGCCTATTTGGACTTGCGGGATCGAGTTTGGTGCTCTACTAAACCATCAAATTGCTCTCGTATCCAATCCCTACAATCCTTCGTAAAATCCTCAATGCTCCCTACTTTGTCACAAATAAAATCATCCATAACGACCTTAATGTACCACATGTTTCCGATTTAGCTCTATTCAGATACCTATCCTTCCATAATATACTTCTGAACCATCCTAGGTGTCTGGAAATAAGGTTGCCTCGGAACCTTCTAATATAGAAATATAAGTGCAGTGCTACCAATGGGTAGTTTCTCTTTTCTCATGTTGTACATGTCATGTTACTTGTTTCATATTTACTTGTTGTATTTATTATTTAATACAGTTGTAAATTTCAATAACAAAAATTAAAAAAAAAAAAACTTTCATTTCAGATTTGAAAATATTTTTTAGGTTGAACCAAATTTCAGACATATTGGGAGTATATGACAAAGAATGCCCCTAATAAAATAAAATGCTATGATTGGATACCTTCTACCCTTCTACTATCGTTAATAAACCTCTACGATGACTACATTTTTAGAATAAAAATTAAAATAATAACCTGAAAATTATGGAGCTCAATACCTTCACCAAATTATTCACCACAAAATACACTCTCTTCCATGAGAAGTTTCGGCGTTTTTTTCCATTTTACATATTGAGAAATTGAACTCACTTTTCTTTTTGTCCTGAATAAAGAAAAATTTATAGATATACTTACAAATTAAGCTTCATCAATAAGCTTTAGGCTTTAGCTAACAAAGCAATATAGGCTAAAATTCCACTAACGACTGCTAATATATTATTAACAATATTCTTTACGGTATATTGTTTCGGTATATAATTAACTATAATAATAATATAAGTGTTTATGCTGATGATCTGGTACTGCTAAGCGAAGACGTTGAAACTATAAAACTAAATACGACAACGTTAATGAAAGCCGGGAAAGAACTAGGACTCGAATTAAACGTGAATAAAACAAAATATATGGTTAGCTGCAAAAATGGCGATACTACTGGTCATATCGATATAGATGGTAATATGTTTGAACAGGTAGATAAATTTAGGTATCTAGGTTCTACGATAACTAGAAAAAACGAAATTGAAGAAGAGATTAAGGTTAGACTGAAGGCGGGGAATGCTTGTTATTTTTCTGTGACAAAACTACTTAGTTCGCGCATCTTGTCCCGAAACTTAAAAATTAGAATCTATAAAACAATTATCTTGCCTACAGTTCTTTATGGATGCGAAACTTGGCCGCTTACATTAAGGGATGAGCAGCGTCTTAAGGTTTTTGAAAATAAAGTGTTGCGTAGAATATTCGGACCGAAAAAGGATGAGTTAACCGGAGAGTTCAGACGGTTACACAATGCCGAATTGCGTGAGATGTATCCGGGTAATATAATTGAGGTAATTTCATCGCGGCGAATCAAATGGGCTTGTAAAGTTGTTGGCCTTAGTAACGAGAGAATTCCTAAAAGGTTAATATTTGCTGTGCCGAATGGTAAGCGTCCGAGGGGTAGACCGAAGCGAAGATGGGAAGATTGCATTAAAGCCGATCTGAAGGGACTGGGTTTGGACGGCGAACGGTGGAGGGAGGTGTGTAACAAGCGATTGGTGGGGTCGGCATCGAACCTTCGGGTTCGCTAAGCCTTATTATTATTATTATAATAATATAAGTGTTATTTTAATTTCAAATCTAAGAAACACCTCGCAACTTTAATTATTTAAAATTTTTTTTTAAACTAAATATTTTATTAAGCATTACAAGACTTAGATTTTAATAGCCGAGTAAGTATGTAAAAGTTCCTACCCCCTATAATATTAAAATTTTATTTTAAGTTGTGTATAGGTTCATAAAAATACATAGCTAAAAATATTTATGATATTTTTGATAATTTAAATTTGCTAAAATTAAAAAAAATATATACCCCAATTGTAATAATGTAAATAAAATAATTCATAATATTGAGATCACTGAAAATTAATATTTTTTATAAAATATATAAATTTAGTATTATACATTTATTTGGCATATTTCTTTTTATTCTAAATTAAAAAAAAAAAAGAAATATTAACGTTTTGGAAGTTTCAAGAAGCTGCAATCCAAGATTTACTATTTGGAATGCAAATCATGATAATATCTGCAATAATGCTGTTGTACACTGCACCAAATTATAAATAAATAAAAATAATATAGCACTATGAAATAAAATAATGTATTTTAAAATATTTTATAAATTCTAAAGAAGCAATGTGATATTTTTATTTATTTATTTTTCTTACATTAAATTTTTTTTTCATAAAAATTTACACGAAATCCATTAATTAACGAAAAATCAAGCATATATTTATAGAACTAAAAATGCAATAAATATATGTTTGAAGAATATTTAATATTATTGTATAGTATTATTATATTATAGTAAAATTATTAAATAGACCAAAATTAATCGCAGAATTAGTCATTAATAAAACAAATTATTTTTGTGACTCCTGAAATTTTTTGGTAAATTAAACGATTTTTCTACAATTAAATTAAAAATTCAGTAAAACTAATTATACTGTAGCTATATAAATTTAATAGTCAATAATCATATATTTCTTTATTTTACATTAAATTTGCTACTGCGATGTAACGTATCAAGCAAATGTTTTGCCGTTTATTCTGTCTTCTTAAATTCTTGATCCTTGTTTAGTCTGTCAGAAGGAGATCTCTAGGCCACTGCCTTTTTAATCGTCATTGAGGTTCACCAAGAAACAGGGAGAAAGAAACAGACAGAATAAGTGGTTTTGGATGATTGAGAGTAGAAGAATGAAATGTACTTGTTGTGTATGTAGGATTTTACTTTTGGTACGCTCATGTCTGTGTGTATGGTGTGATTTGAATTTTGTTTATGTGTGTGTGTATGTGTTGTGGCACCCCAAAGTTCTGCTCCGTATGTCCAAATAGGTCTTAGTATGATGGTGTAGATTAGTCGCTTGTTTAGTAAGATGAGTAGAGATCTGTAGTCCAAATGATGCGACAGTTGTTTGTATCGTCTGATCAGTTCTTGTTTTTTTAATTTTGTGTATCTTTCAGGTGAGTTTTTGTCCCAGTATATTCCGAGATATCGTACATGAGTTTTTAAGGGAATTTTGTTGTCTATTGTCACAGCAACAATAGATCTCCCTCAGAAACTAATATGAATCGATTTGCTGCTATTTATTTTGATTTTTCATTTGTGTAACCATTTTTCAAGGTCGTGGAGGTGATTTTGAAGAGCTATTGAAGCGATAGTAGGATTTTTGTGATAATAAAAAATAGCCGTACGGTCAGCGAAGCTATAGAGACTGGTGATAGAGTGATCAGATGTGTAGAGAGAAAAAAGAAGAGGGCTTAAAACACTGGAATTAAGAGAAATACCAGTCAAGAAAGAAAGATTGAAATATCAGAAACTTGAAGGTAATGTGCTGTTTTATTTTCCTCAATAAATCTTTATGCCAGACACTATCAAACGCTTTCTCTATATTCAGGAATATCGTTGAGCAGAATTCTTTTTTCTTGAAGGAAACTGAGATAGCGTCTGCTATACGATGACATTGTTATACAGTGGAGTGGTAATAACGAAAACCGATTTGGTGGTTCGGTATAACTTGCGATATAATAATCATATAAAACAAAATTTGAAGATAATATCAAGAGAAAAATTTGAAAATAAAATATGGAAGCGTAAATTCATCTTTTTTGCTGAACCGTACATGGTCAAATAGGTTTAAGTAGATATATGTGGTAAGTGATTATAGTATAGCTAAAT